GCAGGGAAAGGGGAGGAGGGAGAGACGCCATCTCTTCACAAGGAATGTGTGAATACATGTGGTGGAGGCCACCTCCGAGCCAAGCACCCACACTGAGCTATCTGACCTTAAAATAAGGATAATCATTGTCATAGTTCTCTCATGAGTGTGGTGTTAGGATTAAGTAAGATGTGGCATATGAAAAATTTAATACAGAGTAGGCACTGAATGAATATTAGTAAAATAGTTAATAAGCATATTATGTCACTGGAAAGCATTTTTATGACATTTGAGAAGACTGTACTAATGTCTAATTACTAGTTTTCCATCAGTTTCATATATTTCCTTTTTGTGTATATTTAGAAATCTCAAATATAGCCATGTTGCAAAATTTTGAAAATTAGAGTAATGTTTACTCTTAATTTTACCACTACTGTTATCATTTCTATATTCATTTTTCCTGTCCTTTTTTTACATTGTTGTAATTATAGTATATGGGCAATGTTATATCTTACTTTTTCCCTTTCGTTATTTTATAAGCTTTCCCCCATGCTGTGATATAGTTTTCACAATCATCATATTTAATGTTCTTTTAATAGTACATTGAATATATATATATATTTGCTTAACCATTTTTCTAAATTCGGTATGTATGTTTCTTATCTTTGAACATATGCTGATTTATTTTATATCGCATAATTATAGTTACAAGAATTTAACATTCAACTGTATGGTCATTTGCTGGTGCTGGAAGAATCTGACCTAGACTCTGTTTTGTCAGTTCCATTTTTTTCTCAGTTGCTTGATTTCTTTCAAGTTGTACTTCCCTTAGTTTTTACTTGAGCCAACTAATCAATCTCCCTGTTGACTGATCTGCTCCACTTACCCATTTATCCTTTCTTTGTTGTCCCTCTCTCATTCTTTCTTTTCTCTTTCCCTCTTTTCCTTTCTCCATCTCTTCCTTCCTTCCACAAGTATTTCTTGACCTTCTATCTTATGCCAGAGTCTTTTATGTGTGGAGAATAAACTAATGAATAAGACAATTTCTCAGTTTCCACAGAGCTTAAATTTGAAAAGGGAAGACACATCATAAACATTCAAACAATAAAAAAAGAAAAATAATCAGATATGACAAATACTTTACAGAGAATTAAAATGAAATAATATGTGTACTAGTGAGAGAGTGTCTGTTGTCATAGAAGGAACCAGTTTTCTGTACTGCAAGGTTACTATATTTTATTTTTAACTAATGAGTCATTTGTGGGAAGGTATTTGTATATTCCATAAATATCCTATTTCTCATCAGATGTTCAGGTCCTGGTTTTAGCATTCATTAATTACTTTTCTAATTCCCTTATTATTTGTATATTTATTAGATAACATTCTACTCTAAGGAAAAATTTGTCTTCTCCCTCAATTTATTTATTTATTCATACTGCTTCTATCAGAATTATGGATACATGGATTCTTGTTCTATTCAATAGATTGTGTTACTAACATTATTTCGTTTGATGATCAAATAGCCCCAGGTCTGGCCAGAGGAGCCCTTTCAAGGAGGTTCCCATGTTTTGGCATGTTCTTATTATTCTTGAGTACTTCTTTGCTTTGTGGCACATCAAGATGTTCCAAGCTCATCTTGTATTTTTCTATTTTTTCAATTTCCCCCTTCTTTCTAACTATTTATAGACTTAAAATAGGTATATCATTTAGGAGATTAATGCCATGTTTCATGCAAAAGGTGATATGAATCTGAACTGGAATACTGGCAAGAGGATGATAGTAGATAGGAAATATGTGGGGAGAATTTAGGAGTTAAGATTTTCAGGGCTTGACCTAAAGGGGTGAAGAGAGTAATTTTAGGCTTTCAAGTTTATGATTTGACCCTTGGTGTCAAATTCACATTTAAAATAAAAATGGTAATGACACTCATATAATTTAGACACAAAGAAGACAGAGAAGCTATGTGGAAGATTGCAGAATAAGAGAAAATATGGATATTACACTTTGAGCATGTTGAATTTAATATGTCTTTTAGGAAATAGAGAACACTATCATTTAATGAAGTTGGTTATGTATATAGCCTTCAGAAATGAGGAAAACCTTACCAAAGCTGACACAGTTGTATAGCTGTGAACCATTATGAATAAAGTTCATATTGGTGCCATTAATATAGCCAGAGTTCAATTTCAGTTATGTACCCACAAAACAATGACAGAAAAGCAATATACAAGGGGGAGTCCCCCAAAACCAGAATTATTCTTTGGAGGGCGAGCCCCTTGTGTTACACTCAGAATTTGTTCCTCCGGATCAAACCGTCAGTCATTTTTATCTGGAAGTTTTGAAAAGGTTGCATCACATTTTGCGAAAGAAATGTCCTGAGTTCTGGCAAACAGGAACTGATTTTCCACCATGACGACATACCTGCCCACAGCACTGAGTGTTCAGCAACTTTTGACCACAAACGGCATGACCCCGGTGACCCAGCCTCCCTGTTCCCCCGATCTTGCTCCAAGTCACTTTTTTGTTTCCCTGGATGAAAAGAGTCCTCAAAGGGAAACGTTTTGTTGATGTGGAAGAGGTGAAACAAAAAATGGCAAAAGCACTAAAAGGCATAAAAATTGATGAGTCCAAAAACCATTTTCAGCAGTGGAAAAAGTGTCTCCATAGGTGTATCGCATCAAACGGAGAATACTTTGAAGGTAACTAAAGTTTAAACATGTAAGAACAAATGCCCAACTTTTTAATAAATTAACTCCATTTTATTTGAGGGCCCCCTTGTATAATCAGGAAGAATAAAGAAAGGTATGTAGAAGTCTGAAAAAAAGAGTGCAGAACAATGTGGACCTGTTGTCAGCTGGGGATGGTGCTGTAGATATTGGAGGCTGCAAACTCTGCCATGTCTATCCCACAAGCATGAGTCAGTCACTGAGACAGCTAGCCTTATACTGGCCACAGAGGTGCTGCATAAACCAGGTGGACGCTTTCTTAGTTCACAGTAAGAAACTGCAGACTCTCTGCTTCTGGGACAGCTGTGCTTCCTCCTTTTCCTGTAGGCTACCAGAAGCCAGATGATGATAGGGAGAGTGCTCATTGAGCTCTTCTAATCATAGCTCATGTTTACTGACACTCTAGGTGGCAGGCACTATGCTAAGCGTTTTACATGAATCACTTCATCTTCATGACGACTTCTGAACAGGGTACCAATACTATTACAGTCCCACAGATGAGGAGGCTGAGGCTTGTAAGTCATCCAATGTCACACTGGCAAGGATGAGACAGAGGCAGCACTTGAACTTACATCTGTCTGTTCCCAAAGTCAGGACTCCTAACTCCCAAGTGCCCATGGAATGTGAGTGAAGGGATTAATTCAAATTCCTATTTGAATTTGATTCAAGTTTCTATAGCATCTGGCTATCTCTGTAATGAGAGTGAATGGGTCAGATTTACTATAAAACTGTCCTTTGGTGACTCTGCCTTTTTCTATGATTCATCTGAGCTTCAAAGCTTCTTATTCTTCCCCTTTTTTGATAACTTCAGTTCAATTCTTCGTGGTCTTGGAGACAGTCTCTCTTTTAGGTGCCTTTGCAAATATTCACTCTGATGCATTCGTTTTATAAAAATGCCCTTTTTGGGATTGGGGGACTTCCCACTGTCACCTTGCAATGTGAAATGTGGCCTAGTCCTGATACCTGCTTGCTTAAATTCTCAGGAGTATAGACTCCAGGTGCCCTTTCTAGTGAGAATTTTGTTCTGATGTGACACCCACCCTAGGCACCTGCTTTCTTTGCTTTTTTTTTTTTCATGCCAGGGATGACCAAATCCAAACATTTACTAGCCTTGTCAATGTGAACAGAAAAGGTGATTTCTCCTGCCTGGAAAGACTCAGGGTATGAAATTAAGGGGAGATGAAGATAGAAAAGTGAGTTAAGACTAAGCCTTGCTGAATAGGTTCTCTTCTCCCCAATGGTGGTTGGTGGAGGCTTTGTCGAATATGAGTTGGTTGAGGAATTGAGGTTTTGCTTCTGGAATCTCTATCCTGTTCCATTGGTCTATATGTATGTTCTTCTACCAATATCATGCTGTTCTGATTATTGTAGCCTTAGAGTAAAGTTTGAAGTCTGGAAATGTGATACCTCCCATTTTGCTTCTTTTGTTGAGGATAGTTTTGGCTATCCATGGTCGTTTATGTTTCTATATGAATTTCTGTATTGTCATTTCCAGGTCTGAGAAGAATGGTGTTGGTAACTTAATGGGTATTGCGTTTATCTGTAGATTGCCTTTGGTAGGATGGACATCTTAATAATGTTGATTCTTCCTATCCATGAGCATAAAATATTTTTCCATTTGTTTGTGTCTTCTTGGATTTTTTGAGCAGTGTTTTGTAGGTTTCATTGTAAAGGTCTTTCCCTTCTCTGGTTAGGAAGATATGCTGAGGTATTTTCTTTTGTGTGTATGAGGCCATTGTGAACAGGATTGTGCTTTTTATTTGGTTCTCTGCCTGTTTGTTGTTGGTGTATAATACGGCTGTCTTTTGCACATTTATTTTGTACCCTGAGACAATGCTCAGTGATCTATCACAGAAACAAAGAACAGAGTACCACATGTTCTCACTCATAAGTGAATCCTGAACGTTTAACATAATACCGTAAGAAAGGGATTGGCAGTAGTGGGTTGCTGCCAGAGTCGAGGAGGGGACACAACATCAATAGGAGTACCTAAACTCAAACCAGGCAAAGTGGGGACCAAAGGGAGGCCCAAACTTTACCTGTATGATGTCCATTTGTAAAACTAATCCTGAATTGTACCCCACATTTTAAAAATAAAAATAAAATAAAAAATATATATGTATCTAAAACTAAGCCTTGGAGTTGATATTTGTAAAAAAAATTACTTCGTGGTTAGTGATGCAGTTCATCAGCAGATTTAAAATACTACAACTGTTACTTATGTTATATGCGGTTACTCACATTTTATTGCCACTGTAATTTTTCTTTTTTGCTTTGTTTTCTTTTTCTCAACAGGGTGTGAAGGGTTGGCAAAACTTGATTTGACTGTAAATTTCATTGGAGAGCTGAGCAGCATTAAAACTCTGAAGCACAACATCCATCTGAAGGAGCTTTTTCTCATGGGGAACCCCTGCACTGACTTTGATGGCTACAGGCAGTTCGTGGTGGCAACTCTTCAACAGTTGAAGGTATGGTTCTTTTGGTTATACAGAAATCACGGAAACATGAAAGGGAGCAACTACAATAATACCTGATTTGTTCACGGTATTGACCAAGAATGTGTTGCTTCTGAGAATGGAATAATCCAGAGACTAAAACACACTAGAGATCAAAACTAATTATCTGACTTTCTAAACCATTAACATTGTTTTAGTAGCTTTAATAATTCTTTGAAAAATAAATGGCATACTTTTTGCTTTTCTCAGCCAAAGCACACAGCATTTCATTTAACTGTTTTTATGAGTTCAAATCATCGTTATAAAGAACAATCATCATTACTAATTATAAGTAGCAAACCAAAAGTGAAGGGCTTTAGAGATAGCTACAGCTATATATACCATGGTATTACATAGCCTTTTACTATGTGCTTTTATATTATTTAAAACATTTTCTTTTCTTACTATCGCTTTTTACTTAATTCATTCTCTATGGCAGTGGTTCTCCATCTTTGGTGTTGATCAAGATACTTGGAAGGCTTTGTAAAAGATTTTTGTGTTCTGCCCTAGAGTTTCTGGGTCAAGTCTGACATGGGGCTTGGGAGTATGCATTTCTAACGAATTCTCAGACAGTGCTGACAATACTGGTTTGGGGACCTCATTCAAGAACCGCTACTCTAAATGCTGCTGACTTGTCACACCATATCCTCCCAATTTAATACTTTTAGAACCCAGGAAAAATATGATTTCTAGAGAAACCATTCAAGTGAGAATATGTAAGCAGTCATGTTGGTGTTCATGTAATTCCAAGAACTCCAAACCTGCATGGGGTGTCATGTTTCTGCACAAAGAATGCATGGATACATCAGTTTTGTGACAGGTACTTTCCGTTCTCAGAGGAACGTTTATTAGATATCTGTGTTCTCTGTCGTCAAGAGATCACTGACTGCTGGATTAGTGGAACACATTTCTTGTCATGTAAAATTTCTTAGATTAAGAGAATGAGTGACTCAGGTAATCGAATATGGAATACATGATAAATTATCTCAAATGTAACCTGGCCTGATCATCATTATACAGTAACATCCTAAAAAATGAACTGATAAGAACCAGAGTATCATAGAAATGGATTTTATAGTGGAGAGTGGAGTACTGTGAGCCATTTCCCCGGAGGGGTCCAGGGATCACAAGGCCTGTGGTTGCCATAGCTGAGTCTGTACCAGTGCTGCAGTGCCCAGGCTATAGGGTATGAGAGACATCACACAGGTGCTGCAGAGAGGCTCATAGGTTATGCTTTATGCATAGTGTCTCTGATCCTCCAAGAGCTGCAGAGGGTAACAGGTGCCTTTAGAGATGAGGAAGCCAGGGCTCTGAGAACTGATGTTCCTTGTTTAAGCTGACACATCTGACGAGTGGTATAGGTGGGATCTGAACCTACATATGTCAGCCTCTGAGGTCCCCATCATTCACACTACAGTTGCACTCGCTGGTTCTTTCTGGGCTAACACACATGCTTTGGCCCAAGTCTTTCTTTTCAGAAAGACTGCTCTGAATCAGATGCTACAATGGACAAAAGTCTCTCCTTTGAAAGATAGTATTCTTTAGTGTATTTGTTAGTATTTAAAAATAGGTTTATAAACTTTAGACTCTAATTGCCTCTGGGTTGATAAACTTTAGAATCTTAATTGCTGTTTGTTGAGAGCTTGTGATCTGCTTAAAGGAATGGTGTTACTAGATACACTATCTTCCTAGGGCTGCTGTAACAAAGCACCACAAACTGGCTGGCTTAAGTAACGGACATTTTTTTATCACATAGTTCTGGAAGCCACATGTTCAAGATCAAGGTGTTGACAGGGTTGGTTTCTTCTGAAGGCTGTGAGGGAGAATCTGTCCCATGCCTCTCTCCCAGCTTCTGGTGATTTTCTGGCAGGCTTTGATCTTCCTGGGCTTGTAGAGGTGTCACCCTGATGATCTCTGCCTTCGTCTTCACATGGAGTCTATAACTTTTAATGAAGGCTCTAGTCATATTGGATCAGGGGCCCATCCTGCTCCGGTATGCTTCAGTCTTGATGAGTTACATCTACGATGGCCCTATTTCCAAATAAGCTCACATTTTGAGGTACTGGGGGTTAGGACTTCAATGTATCTTTATTGTGGGTGGCTCCAATGCAACCCACAACAAGGGAGTTGTTATTTATTTCGGATCGCCACATAGAAGAGTGAGGAGAGCATCCCTTTCCTTGTCTTCTCTTCCCAGTGTCTAAGCCACTCCAGGTGGTAAGGAGGCCCTGAGCCTCGTGAACACAGCAGGGTTTGATTTATGTTTCCACTATCTAGGAACTGCATGCCTCATTTTACTCATTTGTAGCGGGATAATAATTCCTACCTTAAAGGAGTTCTGCAAGCCTTTCAGTGTATCTCAGTTTCTTTTTTCTGCTACAGAACTTGCACAATTATTATCAATAAGTGTGTACATTCTGCCTCTGTGTTGCGAGAATCCTAAGTGAAGAAAAATTAAGAAATGGTCAGCTCAAAACTTAATCTCTGTTCATTAGGCCTTCTAAATTCAGATGTGATTTTTGGCTAGAAGAAAATGTGGGCCATTTTCAAAGACTGCTTAATAGAAGTCACCAAAAAAGTGAAGTCCCTAGAATAGGTGCTGGGGCACATTCCCAAGTTTGTCATCAGTTATTAATCTGAGATCTTTTGCCTCATGTAAGGAAGGTAACAAAGGGTTCAGTTGTCATAGGCTTTTAGAAACAGTATGTCTAATGAAATCAATATTTACTTAACCTGAGTAAAAAACAGATGTGAATTCAGCCAATCGATTGATGTATCAATGTATTCCAAATTCAGGGAAGAGAATATCACCTTGCTCCCCAATGTTCGTCAAAACCCCACTTTAAAGAAATTATATTTATCTAGAATTTTCAAGATTGTTATAATATATAGTTATATATAGTATAGTTATATTAACAATACATATTTGCATATAAATGGTACTATGTAAAGTAAAATAGCAAAGTGCCACAAACTGAATGTCTTAAACAACAGAAATGTATAAAATAATAACAGAAATTTATAAAAGTAATATATTGATATAGTATTATTTTATATAAATATGTATTAATATTTATACATATATGTTTTATATTTATTTATTATATATACTTATATAATAAGTAAATTTTATTTATTCAGAATTTTCCAAATTGATTAGATCCCAACTCTGTATTAAACCAATTTAACTTAAAGTTAATTCAAGTTATGTGGACCACAATTACTTATCACCTTAAATAACAGATTTTATTGAATTGGATTTTATCATTATGGTCCCATCTTTCATTGAAGGATACTACAAGAAACAGCCTTATGAAGTCTGTTTCTGTATGGACATATTTCTACAGAAAACAATGCATAACATTTCTCAAGATCTCCATTATGAATCCCCACTTTAGAAATGTGTTTCAGAGCTAAGTATTATAGGAAACCTACACGTTATCTTTTTTCATTAAAGACTATAAACTGATCCTGTTCTTCTAATTTGCTTTGAATGCTGGGAAGCTCAGAACCAGATCTGCATCATTTATAGCAGCCTTATGAGTTCTTATAACCAGAACATATTTGGAATTTTTTCCCCAAATCCCCACATTATAATTTTGATTCATAATTTAACTGATCTTGATATGGGTTTTTATTTAGATTTTACTAAATTTTTGTGTGTGCTTTTCCTTCTATGTGTTTTCTATTGCTTCTGTAACAAATTAACACAAAGTCAGTCTGCAGTGGTTTTACTGGGCAAAAGTCAAGGTGTTGGTTCTAGGGGAGAATCCCTTGCTTCTAGAAGCTTCTAGAAGGTGTCTGAATTTTGGGCTCATGGCTTCTTCCCCCATCATTAAAGTTAGCAGTGTGGCATCTTCACACTTCTCCCTAATTCTGACCCTGAGACTTCTGCCTTCCTTGTCTACTTATAAGGAACTCTATAATTCTTATAAGGATGATACCAGACATCCAAGATTCTTAACCTAATCACATCTATAAAGTTCCTCTTGCCACGAAGGTAACATTCATGTAGATTAGAACACAGACATTCTAGGGGGAACATTATCTGCTAACCACACCTTTCTAAATACCCTACCTCATTTTGTAGAACAAGGTTGAGTAGATAAATAGCTATCTTTAATCTGTTAGCTTTGGCATTCTGTTTTTATTTTACTTTCAAAAATCAGATGTAAACAGTGGTATAAAAGTTAATATCATATTCTGTGCATCTTGTTGCAAGAGTGACTCATTTGTATTAGAGCCCAATTATGTGTAACATTCAAGGCTTCTTTTGTAAAGAGTATTTGGTAAGTGTCGTTGTTATATTCTGGAGCTACAATTTGATTTAAGCAATGAAATTCTTGATATAGTGAGCAGATATAAAATCAATATAATTTTTTTTTTTTGAGTTGGAGTCTCACTCTGTCACTCACGCTGGAGTGCCATGGCATACTCATGGTCACCCCAGTGTCAACCTGCTGGGCTCCAGTGAGCCTTTAACCTTAGCCTTCCAAGTAGTCAGAACTACAGTCATGTGCTACCATGCCCGGCTAATTTTTTTTTTTTAATTTATTGTAGAGATGAGGTCTTACCATGTTGCCCAGGCTGTTCTCGAACCTGCGGGCTCAGGCAACCCTCTCACCTCAGTCCCCCAAAGTGCTGGGATTACAGTCTTGAGCCACCTCACCCAGCCCAATATAAAAATTTTTAAGAGCTTGTCATTAATTACTAACAAAGTTCTACTTATTATTGTTATTAGTAAAGGTACTTTGTGAACAGTGTGAATTGTGTGAAATAAACATTTATTTAAGTCAGTGTTTCTGGTGTTTCCCATTAGTAACATTGATTTAATTCTTTATCACTATGGTGCATTATTATTTCCAAGTTTTAAAAGTTCCACTCAGAATCAACCTGGGGCTGGTTTATATGCTGCTTTTGAATAATGGTTCTGTGTCTATTGTTCTTTATTTAAGTGGTTGGATGGTAAAGAGATAGAGCGTTCAGAACGGATTCAGGCACTGCAGAACTATCCAGTAATCGAAAAACAAGTCAGGAAGCAGGAAAAGGCTTACTGCCTCAAGCGAGCCAAGGACAAAGAAGAGGCTCAAAGGAAACTTCAAGAAACACGTGAAAATGAAGACAAGAAGAAGAGAAGAAACCCAGGCTTTGATGGACGTTGGTACACAGACATTGACACTACTCTGTATGTAAATTGTTAGAGTTTATTTCTTTGTTAGCTTCTGTTAAAAACAGCAAACCATGTTATCTTCCAGAGGTGATTTCAGCATCACTTATATTCCAGAGGATTCATCTGAAGAATAAAATATAATGTGAATTTGGAAAGGAAGAATATGAGCATCCCATTGTTTGTGGCAATTCTGAGATTTCTTTTCTTAGAAAAAAATGCCTTTTTAAACTGGCAACTTTAATTTGCATCTAAAATTATTCTCAGAGAAATCTCTATAAAAGATGTACAGGAAAGATAAATTAACAGGGTGTACTTTGATTTATTAAATAGAAATGTTTTAGAAAAGTTAAATGCAAATCATATTATAAATAAATAATTCTAATTGCATCATTAAACATTCTATTTTGTGAATTATATACTGAATACATTTTTAATGTGATTAATGACTCTCTAATTGGTCTTTTTTACCAATCTGAAATTCTCATGCTTATTTATTTATTTGAGACAGGATCTTATTCTGTACACCAGGCTGGAGTGCGGTGGTGCAATACTGTCTCATTGCAGCCTTGATCTCTTGGACTTATCCTCCATCTCAGCTTCCCAAGTAGCTGGGACTATAGGTGCACACCACCATGCCTGGTTAATATTTTTTATTTTTTGCTTTTGTAGAGACAAGGTCTCACTATGTTGCCAAGGTGGGTTAGAACTCCTGGGCTCAAGCAGTCTTCCACCTTGGCTCCCAAAGTGCTAGGATTACAGGCATGAGCCACCACACCCAGCCAATGCTTGTTTATTTTAATTGTAGCTATAGTCGGTTGATTTGATTTCATACAGCAAAAGATTTAAACGTTTAGATAGCAACCATCTTAAAATTGAAAAGATAATAATTATAAAATATTTCAGACACACATAAATGTTTAAAAGGAGATAAATAGTCAGCTAAAGCCCCACCATCTGGATTTAATAAATGACAATAGTATGTATGTCTGTTTTGGATCTTTTTTAAAATAGTAAAAATCATTGAGAGAAGTATATTATTACTAGGTAGTATGACATTTTAAAATATTGGACAATCAAGTTTATTGTTAAATAGCATCTAATTTTCATATTTAATTTGCATTTATAGAATTACTAGTGAGTTGAAATATTTCAAATATCTTTTAATATGCTTATTGGTTATTCAGATTTCCTTTATCCAGGTCCTCTACTTATTTTAAATAAGTTAAAAGGTATTTTTTTCTTTTTTTTATTTTAAAGATATGGGGTACAATTTAGGATTAGGTGTACAAGTGGTCATCATACAGGTAAAGTACGGGCCACCCTTTAGTCCCTACTTTGCCTGGTTTGAGATCAGGTACCCTTATTGATGTTGTGCTCCCCCACCCCTACCCTAGCAGTATCCTGTTACTGTGAATCCCTTTCTTATAGTATTATGGTAAATGTTCAGGGTTCGCTTATGAGTGAGAACATGTGGTACTCTGTTCTTTGTTTCTATGATAGATCATTGAGTATGATAGACTCTAAATCCATCCAAGTTGCTGTGAAATCCATGTGTTTGTCCTTCTTTATGGCTGCATAATATTCCATTGTGTATATATACCACATTTTTCAAATCAAGTCCAGTTTCGATGGGCAGCACAGTTGCTTCCATGTTTTTGTTATTGTGACTAGTGCTGAAATAAATGTGTGTGTGCAGGCATATTTTTTGTAAAATAATTTGAATACCTCTGAGTATACTCCCAAAAGGATTGCTGGGTCATAGGAAAGGTCAATGTCTAATTCTTTTAGAAATCACCACACTATTTTCCAAAGTGGTTGCACTAGTTTGCATTCCCACCAGGAGTGTAGAAGTGTTCCTTTTTCTCTGCATCCTCACCAGCTTCTGTTGTTGTTTGTTTTTATTAATGATGGTCATTCTTTATGGGGTTAAGTGGTATCTCAATGTGGTTTTAGATTTGCATTTCTCTGATAATTAGTGAGGCTGAGCACTTTTTCACGTCTGTTGGCTGCCCGTATATCTTCTTTTGAGAAGTGTCTATTCATGTCTTTTGCTCACTTTTTAATGGGGCTGTTTCTTTTATTCCTTTTGGCACATTTGAGTTCCTTGTAGATCCTGGATGTTAGGCCTTTGTCAAATACACAGTTGGCAAATATTTTTTCCCATTCTGTGGGTTGTCTCGCTGCTCTCTTGATGGTTTTTTTGGCTTTGCAGAAGCTTGTCAGTTTGATGAGGTCCCACTTGTTTAACTTATCTCTTATGGCATAGACACTTGGGGTTTTGATCAGGAATTGGTTGCCAGTTCCAATTTCCATAAGGATGTCTCCTGTGTTTTCTAAGATTCTTATAGTTTGAGGTTTTATGTTTAGGTCTTTGATCCATTTAGAGTTGATTTTTGTGTATGGCGATAGGCAGGGGTCTTGTTTTAATCTTCTGCATGTGGTCAGTCAGTTTTCCCAGCACCTTTTACTGAATAGGTTCGCCTCTCCCCAGTGGTTGATGGTGGAGGCTCTGTCGAAGATGAGTTGGTTGAGAAATTGAGGTTTTGCTTCCAGATTCTCTATCCTGTTCCGTTAGTCCATATGCCTGTTGTACAAATACCAGGCTGTTTTGAGTATTGTAGCCTTATAATAAAGTTTAAAGTCTGGAAATCTTATACCTCCTGCTTTGTTTCTTTTGCTGAGTATTGTTTTGGATATTTGTGGTCATTTATGTTTCCATATGAATTTCGGTATTGTCATTTCTAGGTCTGAGAAGAATGATGTTGGTAATTTAGTGGGTACTGCATTGAATCTGCTGATTGCCTTGAGTAGAATGGACCACTTAACAATGTTGATTCTTGCTATCCATGAGCATGGAATATTTTTCTGTTTGCTTGTGTCTTCTTGGATTTCTTTGAGCAGTGTTTTGCAGTTTTCATTGTAAAGTTCTTTCACTTCTCTGGTTAGGAAGATGCCAAGGTATTACAATTTTTTTTGAAGCTATTGTAAATGGGATTGTGCTTTTTATTTGGTTCTCTACCTGGTTGTTGTTGCTGTATAAGAATGGAACTGTCTTTTGCACATTTATTTTGTACCCTGAGACTTTGCCAAAGTCCCTTTTCAGTGAAAGCAGGCTTTTGACGGTTCTCTTGGGTTTTTGTGGTATAGGATCATGTCATCAGCAAAGAGGGATAACCTAACTTCTTTTTTTCCTATTTGGACATCCCTGATTTCCTTCTCTTGTCTAATTGCTATAGCTGAGACTTCCAACACAATGTTGAACAAGAGGAGTGAGGTGGTGGGACCTTTCTCTCTTTCTGCTTCTAGGTTTTTTTCCTTTTGTGCCTACGTTGTGTAGGTGAATTACTATCTGTCTAGGGGTTGGTCTCATTTGATATCTTGCGGGGGTTCTTTGTATATCTTGTGTTTTTTTGGTTGCATCTCTGGTGAGATGGGGAAAGTTTTCTTGGATAACTTCCTGGAATACTTGCTCCAAGGTGTTCTCCATTTCCCCTTCTTCTTCTGGGATACCAGTCAGGCATAGGTTTGGTCTCTTGATGTAATTGCACATCTCTAGTAGGCTTTGTTCTTTCTTTCTGAGTTTTCTTTCTATGGTTTTTACAGATCAGGTTAATTCCATGTTTTCGCCTTCAAATTCTGAGATTCTTTCTTCTGCTTGATTAATTCTGCTTTCCATGCTTGTCATCTTGTTATTTATTTCCTGGATGAATTTTTCTTATGGTCAAAATCTCTGTTGCAAGTTCTTTCAGTGTTGCATTTTGTCTTTCTTGAGTCTTATTCACTCTTTCCATCCATTTCCTAATCCCTGTTGTATTCTGGGGTCAATCATTAGTGACTTCCATTGTTTGGGCTCTGAGGTCTGATTTTTCAGGTGTTTTTTCATTGTAACACTGGGAATTACCTGTGTTCCTCTGCTGACTTTTCCTCACTTGTGACAGATCTCTTTCTTTTCTCTTTAGCTCCATTAATTATTCAGTGGCAGTGGAAGAGACTTTCACTTCTGATGTTTGCTCAACCCTCTATTATTCCCTGATCAGAGCTCTGAATGTGTTTTATTTTGAAACAGGGCTGTGGGTGGGAAGCTTTGCTGTCTCTTGTAGTTTTAAGAGTTGAGTAAGGTGGAAGATGGGGAGCTAGGATTCAGAAACTACTTGTAAATCACAGTGCTCACTGATTGTGGTATGAGTTCCCTGAGACCCACTCTCCACCACCACTCTATATGACAATGCAATAGGTACATGTGTGTACCCCCTGAGTCCAAGGTACAGTAATGGCAATGAGGAAAACAGAATAGTAGAATGAAATGAGCTGGACAAAAATTAAAAAATAAATAAACCAGAACAACAAAAGCAGAAAGCAAAGCAAAACACACACACACACACACGCACACACACACACACACACACACCCCAAAACAAACTAGAATTACAACAAAACAAAACAAAAAGCAACAACAACAACAAAAAGCAGGAAAACCAAAGACACACATATGCCCAACCCAAAATGAAAGGAGAAGAGAAAGAGAAAAGAAAAAAAAGGAAAAGAGAAGAAAAAAGGAATTCAAATCAAACCCTCACACATGTATTCACACATACATTAAACCAAAAAAGAGAACAAAAAAGCAAAAACAAAACAAAGAGACCTGAAAGTTGAACACTCAATCCTTCATGTACACACATAAACAGAAAACAAAAAAAATGAAAGAAGAAAGAGGAAAAATAAATGGCATGGGGGTGCAGACAATCCTTCATGTACACACATAAACAGAAAACAAAAAGTGAAAGAAGAAAGAGGAAAAAAAAGAAAAAAAATGAGACGTGTATGCAGATCAAGCTCTCATATACACATTCATGCATAAAGGAAAAACATAATAGAATTAACAAACAAAAAATTTTAAAAAAATAAACTAAAACCTGTCCCCTTGTGACAGGTTCTGTAATTGTTCCTCCCAGCTGCTTCTCTACTGTCTCCTGCGGAGTTTCAGCCTCATTCACAATCTTCCCAGTGCCCAGCCC